AATCTATCTCAGGTATCTATCACGCTTAGCATGTCACTCGTACAACAAGAAAAATAGCATTGATCAATAATGACACTCCACCCTTTTTTTTCTCACTGACTAATTTTCTCACATTGATTATGGTATTTCATTTATATTCCTATCTCTATTCAATGCAAATACAAAGATATTAATTTCAGCAAAGACAGCAATAAATCAATTTTTTAATTAATAAAGGATTGCAAGAAAAAGTGTACTTTACTCATATAAAAACCGCTTCAGATACAACGTGAGATATTTGAAATAAATTATATAAATTCCACTTTTTTTATTAATTCCTATACTTGTACTTTTCTCGTTAATTTTAACTTGTTATATCTTATAATTTATGAATATATTGTTCTATCTTATAGTTTATTAATATATCGTTTATCAAATAATTTTGTAATATACAGCGTATATTACATTATTTAAAATATACTTAATTTCTGTCTCGAGAATAAACTCAGGGACCAAAGGATTCCAACTACATAGCTGAGATATCGATTGACATTCCTATGTGGAAACGTATATCGAATACCTTTATGTGCGTGCGAACATGCGCGAGGAGAAGTAAAAACGATAGAAGGCAGGTACACAATGCATTTTGCTAACGATCGCAGAACTTGACCGCGGATAGATAGTCCGAGGCCGACATGAACGCTAATGGTCGCAAAGTTCGTTCTCTAATGAAACAAATAACGTCTCGAGAAAGACGTCAACTATTTATGATACCTTATACTCGTATAGTTATTAATTATCCGCGGATACGCAACTTCTTTTTTTTGCGCCAACGTTATTTCCATTATCATTATCATTATCGATCAGGAGGACTTTGGCGCGGATCAATCAATCGACCGACTCTTCAAGCCGGTTCGACTGGTACGAATAATACAAATGTGAAACAAGCAATTCTTTGACTGACACGACACAAAAGAAAACGCGGCAGTTGTTGATTTTGCTAGCAAACCGGCCGACCAGCCGACCTTTCAAGCACATGCAATAATGAGTGCAAAAAAAAATTGAACGTTCGATACTGATTTATACTTTGAACGAAGTATAATCAGATAATTAAGATGTAAAAATGTTTTCAAGGAATGAAAAGAAATGTTAAGTACTTGGAAAAGATAAGAATATAAGACTTAGAATATAATCTTCCTAATCACGTAAAATTGTTAAATTTATAATATCAAATTATATCCACTTTGAATTATTCTTAATCATATTTATAAGTTGCCATATTTATAGGTCCTACTAATTATATTAATTAGACTAATTGTAAAACAATAGAGTTAAATAATTTATCTCAAGAAAATGTATTAAATTTAATTCAAATTTAGTTTATTATTTATTAAGTGCACACGAATGATGTTTGCTTTGATACTAATTACAGAAATGAATTAATTTACATTTTGACACAGATGGAAGTTAAGAATAACAAAATGTGTGTTTAACTCAAGAGACTGGAACATTATTACTTCCATATCAATGAAGACTTCAACTCTTCCCGATTTTCTAATTTCTTCTTTCGCTTCTCTCTATTTTCTTGCTTTCATCATCTTTTCACGTTTTTACTCTTATATAAGAGAGATCGTTAGTTCGGATCATATGCTCTTTGCGCGCATTTTGAAGATGATCATGTCCTCGAAGTACTTACATAAGATGTCGTAAAGGTCATAAAGGAAGGAATGATAATCCCTAGTTAGTGATTCTACAAATTCAGGATGTTGGCATTTGTCACGAGACTTTAAAATTAAAATTCTGTTAAGGTAAAGTTCTATTAAAGACGAGATCCAGGAAGAATATTATGGAAATGGTCTGTTACATCATTATGTGGTTGCAAGAATAATAAAAGCGTAACGTGACTCTCTTCGTCGGAATTAATCTTCAATCGTGACGTCTTTCTCGAACTAGGCACGCAATCAACGATTGAAGCTACCTCTGATGAGTTGCTGATGATAGTGTGATACACGAAGACAAGCTCCGTGTTTGTTGAACGACAAATACGTGTTATTGAGTGATAATGCGCGTAAAAACATGACAATTCATTGACAACTTGACAATTCATTGGTATCTACAATACATTCATCATTCTATAAACAGAAAAGAAATCAAAGAAGATTAAGAGATCGAATTAATTGAGGAACGGAGATGAAATAAACATAAAATCCTGTAATATAAAAATATATATTTTATTACACCTATTCAAGAGTACTCGACGAAGAGCTGACTGCACGCTTTGTCTTATTCTGAACGAAAGATTTCCTGATTTTTCGGAAACGTCCGCGAATTAACCGTCATCAAGTAAAAAAAATATTTCATGGTAAATACACAGACTTTCTTTTTGAAACCAAAACTTTTTACAGTACCCTTAAATACCTATAAAGATATTGTAAAGTAAGTAGCGCTTGAGTAATATTTACTTTTTGATACCTAAGAGAATTAATAATCCGTGCTTTACAGCGGCGTGATCAACACCGAAATTATAATTTCAGGCCACGCTTCATTTCACGCAAGCGATGCAACGGATCGGATACCTGAGTGAAAAACCTTCGGACCACATCGGGAACTCGAGGTGAAAGTGAGCGAACGCCTACGAATTTGCTTGTGTCGCCGTGAGAAGACAACGCTCTTAAGGTGTCAACGTTTTATCGTGGCCGACGTAGTCGACAATGCATCGGCGCTGAAAAAGACACGAGATGAAGCAACGTCAGAGTGTCATCTGAATACATCGCAATGATTCAGTGTGGTCGACCGTGCGCGCGATGACACATCCATTGAACCGAATTAAGAGCAGCGACTAGAGCCGTGACATTACTCGCGATGATCGTATTAATCGCAGCCTCCCGGTTCAGACATCTCGATTCATGTTCTCGAACGTGGTGTGCCACGCCGGTAGAAAGAGGCAAATAAATTGCGAAATCAGTAAAATATGTAAATAATTTCGGGGATCGATGAAATAAAGACTGCCACAGAGGCGGATTATATCTTTTTTTTTCTCGGAACGAGTGTTATTAACGATCGAATTAATTGCCCTCTTGAATCCTCAATCCGGATTCTCGATTCCTGTTCTTGAATGGGGCGAACCAAGAAATGTGCCAGCGAAGAACAAGATTCGAAAAATAATAATCCACTCGCGAAAAAAATCTAAAAAAGAAACGAGTAAATTGAAGAAATTAATGATTTATTCTTTTCAAAATAATCATTCAGAAGACATGAATCGCAAGTTTAACGTTGATAGAGTTATTTTAATCTGTCATAAAGTCGACTAAAGCCCATTCTTGATTTATGATCAATTATAAATAATATATTATGATATGTGAGCGCATATTTTTTATGTACGTGTTTCTCTTAGAATATTTTCGCTATTATGTGATTACATGAAATTACAAGTAGAATTTTATATTTTTTTTAGAATTGAGATATAACTGTCAAGATTGCCTAAAGTAGTTTAGTTACGCCATGACAAAATTTTACTGTAAATCTCTTTTATATCACGGACTAACATTTCATTGATAAAATATAGATAAGAAAGCATAGTATAATGTTTAACGATGTTTAACATTACACGAACCGAAATCTTTTATACTGCCTGTAACTTTTGACTCTCGACTAAATTGATCGTATAATGTATATTTGTTTGCTATTAAATGTTTTAAACAATTCAACAAGAATTCTTGTAAGAAATTCAAATGTATGTTAATTACCTATAAATCTACAGCAGAACTCTTTCTCATGTTGATTTCATTATCGCTGTTTGAATACGTATTACTATGACGTTGGATCAATCGATTCGTCATCAGCAATCATCGGTCACATTTAATCGTCAAATATGCACACTTAATATGTAAACAATGTGACGAACATCTTCGAATACCTCGGTGATAAACTCGCGTGGCATACAAAATGCTCTTTTTTCGACATCCAGTCGCTTATCGTGTTCATGCAATGTTTTGTTTATTGGTAACCAAGGTAAACGCATCTTAGAAGTATGCAACAGACGCTCAAAATATAGAACTGAATATTTTTAAAAATGAAAATTATGTATGTACTTCTAATTCTTTTTTGTCAGAGTTTAGGTAGAGAATATATAATTTGTTGAAATTTTATAACTCGATAATTTTTACAGCTTGCGCTAGAAAAATTTGTATTCGGATAATGTAAAGATTTAACGTAAACACTTAATTATCAGTAATTAATATAATTACTAATTTTATTCAAAACTTTGAAACACAAAAATAATAAATTAAAAATAGATACTCTACGAAAGACATTCTTTACAGAAAGGATTCGTTTAAGTTAAGTGTACACCGAGAGAAAAAAAAATGCAACTAATTTATGAATTATAATTTAATTATAATTTATAACCATTTTTCGGAACTATACTATATATTTATAATTGTTTTAACTATGTAAATATAGTCAATTATACTATTAATAATAGTCACGCACTGCTTGAGAATCTTTAGTTTTTTCTTAATATATTTTTCAGTTATTATTACATAAGTAATAAATTAATTTTTTTTAAATGATTATATTGATTATAAATGCGGCATTTACTGAATATGTTTATTTTTTTTTATCATTTACATTCTAATTGATATTTTACTGTATTAATATTTAAAATCTATCATAATTCATAGATTTTTTTCATGTTTGAGAGAATTATACATAAATGATAATTATCGTAATATCATAATCGTAGTAACCATAAAAATGGAGCTCCTTACTATAATCTGGAGACACTGATAATATCTCGGCGCTAAGCTACGCGCAGCGACCATTTATTTTTACCATGCAAATAGTCATAAATATCAAACACCATCTCTCAGTGTATACAGATGTGATAGAATACGTTTACATTAGCCAAAAGTTTCTTTAAATTTCAAACCAAAGCGAACGATATTTGTATCTTTGAAATTTTCCACACTAAAACGATCGATTCATGTCACGATCGAACGGATTAAATATTTTGTACGTACACCATCGTCTGAGGAAACCGCCCTGCAGTTTGGCGCAGATCCCACGATGCACCCTCATTCTGAGTGGCGTTCACCGAGCGTTCACCCCGAGATCACAGCACAAGAGGCGCGAAGCGCAAACGCGTAGTTGTTTTCTTTCTGCCCCCTCTCTCTCTCTCTCTCTCTCTCTCCAGTGTTCCACAGCGTCTGGATACGCCTTTGAGACGGCACGCTGCGTCATGCACGAGTAACAACCGACTTGTCAAAGTGGATTCTTTCGAGACCTCATTCAACGACTCGCGACGTACGGTCCACCTCGTCCTCGCGGCACGCGGCGTTTTCTCGCGGCGACCTCGAAGCGCTGGCTTGCGCGCGCGCGGCTTGACTACCAACTGGAGAAAGTCGGTCCTTCTCTCGTCGGTGCGCTAAGTGTGCCGGTCGGATCGTCGGCCGTTATTATGTACCGGAGATGCTGGTACGATCCGGGTATTAAAAAAAAAATAGCGCGCTTTTACTTCTCTCTTTTTTACTCGCGCCGATCGTTCGTCGTTGTTTTTGCTCGTCGCCCGAGGAAACGTTCCTCGTGAGTCAGGACATATCCCATGGATCCTTCACGTTCACGGCCGATTGATCTCTCACGGTGGTATCGAGCAAGATCGCGCGATTCCTGCTCCTAACTTCTCGTCGATGATTCTCGTGGCTGATTTGAGCGCGAGACGAGTTGGAGTGCACGCGGCGACTACTGCTGCCTCCTCGATCGCTGATGGTCGCGACAGTGATCGTGGGAACGATCAGCGATAATGATGTACCTCGGCGAGGAAGAGGCATGCGATCTAGGAAGAAGGTGGGACGTGGAGATGCAGATAGGAAAAGAAGAGAGAAGGCGAAGAGAGGAGAGATCAACGAGAGGATCGGATGAGAGAGATCGAGAGGAAAATAGAACGGAGAAGAAAGTGAGAGAAGGGAAGAAGGAAGGAGAGGAATGAAATTGATGCAAAATCGAGCGGAACCGAGGAATGTGTGTTCCTCGAGGATGAGGCGTGTGAGCGTGTGTGGTGGACGATCTGGCGCGAGTATGGACGATCTGGCGAACGTGATGCGATCGATGTGAGATCGGCCGAGACACTGCGGGATTGCCGATCCACGGCGCGACACTCAGGTGAACGATTTATTTCTGCCCCCACTTGACGCTCCACTTTGCCCCCTTCGGTGCGCCCGTTCAGTGTCTACTACTACTACTGTTCCAACTGCTGCTGCACCGCCGTTGCTCCACCATTCTTCGCGGCCCCCCTTACGGTGCTTCTACTGCATGACTGTTGCACAGGAACGTTTTACCTCGCTCGCGGACCCTCTATTGCTTTTGTTCCTTTTATGAATGGAATTCGTTTTTTAATTTCTCTCATCTTTATCTTTCCCCGTTTGAAATATCGGTTCTAAGTGTGCTCGAAATGGCATTAAAAAAAGCAGTCGAAACTAATAGAAATTTTTGGAATAAATGAAATTTCCTTATCAAAATTAATGCAAGACTATAAATTACATGAAAATGTTACTATACGCAATAATTACTTGGTTGAAATAGTTTCAAGAGTTCATATATCCGCGAATCTATCATAAAGTTCATCACAAGCACATTAAATTTATTCAAAACAAATTCTAAATCCTAATGAATTTAATACTTCAACTCAAGATCATCAAATTAAATTAAATTCGATTTACTTATTATATAAAATCGCTTCTTCGATTAATTTTGTAATATTCTTCAAAAATAATTAATTTCTTGTTTTAAATACATAACAATGATCATTTTTTTTAATTTGTAACACAATTATATTTTAAGAGTATTATCAAAGAAATATTCTTTTTTAAAGATAACCGTTACTTAAAAGGAAGAAAGTAAATTGAGTAATCACGGTTTTTAGCAATAAAATTTTTCTGTGTATTGTCAAGTATACAGTTTACGATGGTTCATAATAAATTTTTGTGATAAAATAATTAAACAATTAATCAGTATGTAACTTATTTGATTTTAACTCATAAAGTTCAAAAATAGATAAAAATCTGAATATATCTTCTGAGCGAATTAACATTAAATACTTCGGAATATTCAAGTTTCTACAACTTTCGAACACCATAATACTCTTTTGAAGATAACATGTCTTCTTTCCTGTATGTTTTCATTCAGTCGTCGCAGGCCCCGGTATATTTGTGCGCTCTTGCGCCTCCATCATCACGATTTATATCGCCTCCTCTCGCTTTCTCCATCACGCCTTACCCTACGATAAATCCTCCTTTTCGATTCCCACCTCCCCATGTAGAACCCCCCCACATGTGTGGAATCGCGAATCCTTTCCTTCCGTGCTTCCCCGTTACTCGGCGATCTACCTCCCCGATGCGACTAGTTTGGCAAGCAATAATAGCAATTCGGGGGCTGCGTAGGTGAAGCACAACGATTGCCTTCCTGAACGTTACAATACATGCTTTATAAACTTTCAGATGGTTCGTCGATGCAACGAGTATATTTGTCATTCTAGAACTTGACACAAAAATGTCGTGAACTTTTCAATGTACACGAAATTCCACTTGAAAGTTGATTTCTTTTAACGACACCATAGACGTATTATTTCATAAACTCTTTTATTACAAATTTTAAAAGCAAGAGTCTCTCTCTTTTAAGTTTTATATTAATGAGTTCTAAATTATAAATTTTTAAAAGATTTATATAAAAATATTTTAGAAGATAATGCAAATCTTCCTTATGAGTACAAAAACTATTATTAAAAATATTTACATGTTATTATAAGATTTATACCAGATAAAAAATTGTTCATGCATGAATAAACATACATAAACATGCATAAATATTCATATAAACATGTATAATTATATATAAAATATGTCCATACTTGTTAATACGTCCTTCTTCGTTTCGTAAAATTACTTTTTAGTATATTAGAAATAATAATAGTAATGCAGAAACATAAAAAATTATTAAAGGGATAATTTTCGCATTATTTGTTTTAGAAAAAAAACAAGTTTAGAAAAATATAAAAAAAGTTATACATAATTATGCATAATTTTATATGTAATTATACATAAATAATTTTTTTACATTTTTTTCAAATTTGATTTTTTCTAATACAAAAATAGTGCGAAAATTACCTTTATAATTATTTTTAATGTTTTCACATTACTATTATTATTTCTATTACACCAAAAAATAATTTTATACATATGGACATATTTCATATATAATTATATATTTTTATGAATATTTATGCGTGTTTATGTTTATACATATTTATATATATTCATGCATGAAAAATTTTTTATCGGGTAGCGATGTGTTCCATGTGCCACAGAGTTTTGCTGCCATCAACTGGTATTACCGCTATTTCACTCATGCATTAAAATCTCTTCCTCTCTTTCTTTCGGCATACGGAATTTATCATTAATTTGCTATTATGACGCGGTTTAACATACAAAATTTTGCGAAGATCGATGAACGCTACAGAAAGGCTGTTATGGGATACCGCAGAATCTCGCAGAGAAAGAGGTCTACCAAAAATAACCCGGTTTCAATTTCCGCTACTGCGTTCATGATCGACAATCGCCAGCTGAGAACATCGTAATGGTAGGCGATCGAGGACGTAAATCTAGGTTAACGCTAGGAAACCTACGAGTTTTTGTGAGAGGCTTCTCCTTCCGACGTTCGTTGTACATTATCTCGCCTCTCAAATTTCTTTAATTTGACTGGTCAGCGGCGATGACTATTTAAATTTAAAAAAAATGATGATGACATTCAAATACAAAAGAGGCCAAAAAAAAAAGGAAAAAACGAAAATAAAATAAAAATAAAAAACCGTTTACGCGCCCATAAAATTTCGTACGTGTTTTTTTTTAGATCTTCAACAGACATGCGTATTTGCAAGTAGAGGATTACATTTTTCTATGAATACGCGGAACTTTTTGCTCGAGTGCTGTCGAGTGTATCTCGTGTGCGGAAAAGTCCACATTGCAATTTCTTAGAAGTACACTCCACCGGTTCTCTGTTCTCTATGATTTTACGCGTAGCATTTGGCTCGTGAATGCATGATTAGATATTAAATCCACGTTCTAGAAGATTACTACCTGGAAAAGATTTAATAGCTAGAAGTTCAAATGGCACTCGGACCAAGTGATCCAGATATTTAACGTCAGAATTAAGAACTGAAATGTCAATTTTTAAGAGTGGAGTATCCTGCGTCAAAAGATTCTATAGTGTCAAACTGCTCAACTTGCAAAAGATTAAATTTAAAAATTAATACATATATATAAGTTAGACATCGATCTAACTACTCAATTACCAAAGTAATAAATAGTATTCTACATATGAATCGTTAATTATTCACTGTTAAGTATTAAAAAAGCAATGACAATATAAACTCTTAAGTTAAATAATGTTTTATTATTTTTAATTTTCATGCGTATCAAAATGTAAATGAATTTATTTCTAATTCAGTTTTAAAGTAAACAACGTTCACATTAATTTATGCACTTACTAAATAATAAATAAATTTAAACTTTAAATACGAAACGCCTTATAGTTCCGAGTGTTAAGATGTTGAACTAACATTCATTTTAAATTAAATTAATTATTCAGAAATAAATTGAGAGCCGATAAATTACTTAAATAAATTTAAGTTAAATTTAATATATTTTCTTAGATTAAATTGTTCAATTTTTTGTTTTAATTAAATTAACGACATATTATATGACAAATAAGAGCAGTGGCGATCTATAAATGATTAGAAACTACCCCAACAGCACAAAACTTACAGCAACATTACTGCAACATTGTTGCAACGTGTAATATTGCAGCAATATTGCAACTTTTGTGCTGTTGGGGTATTCAAATTGGATATAATTTGATAATATAAATTTAACAGTGTTTTTTTACAAAAACTAACAATATCATTTAATATACTCGTATTCCATGTAAAGTGAAGCTTTGAAGAAGCCTTGCAACTATCAAATATCAACAAATGGACTCTATTGATTCGCAAAGTCAATATTTCAATCCTATTTGAGTGTACGTCAAGCAGATCGCTAATAAAGAGCTTCTTATCGCTCGAAACACTTCAGTCGTAATTACAGAATTATGTGATCTTATTTCAAGTTTGGACGAGCCTTGACTCTTTAATTAGAGGATAGTTAATTTTAGTACTATGCAAACAATAGCTTCCGCGGCACTGACAAATCCATCTAACAGGTTGCTATTATTCGCGTTTGTGCAAAACTGAGAGTAATCCGACATAATTGCTATATTTTCCTTCGGCCTGACATTTTCTGCATACCATCTGACGCGTTACGTAACACCGTGGACACTTCGAATCGTTGCTACTTATTAAAAAAAAAAAGTATAAAAAGAAGGAAAAATAAGAATCTTACATAAAACTAATGTTTTTATGAACATGCTGTTTTTTATGAACATATTACTTTAAACCTCTTTTTGTTTAACGTGTTTTTGCTAAATAATGATTATTAAGTACAATATGTCTATTAATAATAACTATTTACTTCGTAATCGTACAAAATACTCCAATGTTTTTAAACGCTATTCTTTTTATGATTATTTCTACAATTATAGGGTAACTCCGGTATGTACGCCGTACCTTTCAAAAACTTAATTTATTAATTATCATTTATTATGTTTAAAGTAAACGAATTATATCAGTAAAAACTTTGTACTATTATGAAATATATTATTTCTACTATTATGAAAAAAATATTAGAAATATGAAATATTTATATTCCATATTAAAAAACTTTTTTAAATCCTTGCATTTTTGCCGTATATCCCATAGAGATGAGATATATGACTACTCAGAAATAGGGGAAGCGGGTATGTACGGCTCATGAAAAATTTATAAATAATGCATATAAATAAGACGTAAAATGACACGATAACTTATAAAATGCGTTTATAAAATTTTATTAAAGAATAAGAATAAATATGTATATGAAGTAATAAGTAATAATTACGATATTCCCACATGTATTACAAGTGTTATGACATGAGGTACATATTTCATGTAATGCGTTTATTGCATTTAGTGCACTGAATTCAATCTGCGCACCTTGTATGCTTTGGGCATAAATCCTGCCCGCTAAAAATGCCGTATATTCCAAATAGATGGGATATACAGAACAACAAACTAAACAAAGAATACAAGAATAAAATACTTATATTTGTT